GGCTGCGCCACAGGAGGGGGGCTGGGAGGGTACAAGTAGCTGGTATTGCCTAGGGCGCACCACCGGCCCTGGTCATGATGTGCAGCAGAACTCAGCCGAGGTGCAGACGGGATATGTCACCGGTAAACTTTGTGGTTTGCCCTCCCCGCCACACTGCGCGGGCAGGATCCACTATTGCGGCTGCCTGTGCCATTGGCTGCTCTCTGGTCTATAGAAGAGCATCACTGAGGTGCTGAGACCATCCCCAGACCCGCCTCCATCCTGTCAGGAAACGTATAGAGAAGTACAGAGGCGCTCATTGCTGGTCTGCTGGAAGTTCTATGTGCCTGGCTGTCTCTGGTTCAGTACCAGGAGACACTGGACCCAGAAAAAGCATGCCGATTAGGAGCTACTAGACTTATGTAGGTGTACACTGATCACAGCACCTGACCGGGCCAAACAACTCTCAGGCTTATATTCTGCATGGAGGTGGAATAAACTCAACACCAGACCGGGCAGAACAGCTAACAGTCCTATATGCTACATGGAGGGGTGCAATGATCACAGCACCTGACCGGGCAGAACCGTTACCAGTCTTATATGCTGCATGGAGGGGTGCAATGATCACAGCACCTGACCGGGCCGAACAGCTACCAGTCCTCAGGGCCGGATTTCCCACAAGGCCAACCAAGGCCCGGCATCGGGGTAGCAGGGGTGTGGAATTCCTATCTCCCGATGCCTGAGACATGCAGTTCCGAGCGCCGGGCGGGTAGTTGTTTTCTACATTTAGCCCGGCTTTGGGCAAGCAGAGCTAAATGTACAGCGGGGAAGCCGCCTTATATGCTGCATGGAGGGGGTGCAATGATCACAGCACCTGACCATACAAGCTACCAGTCCTATATGCTGCATGGAGGGGGTGCAATGATCACAGCACCTGACCATACAAGCTACCAGTCCTATATGCTGCATGGAGGGGGTGCAATGATCACAGCACCTGACCATACAAGCTACCAGTCCTATATGCTGCATGGAGGGGGTGCAATGATCACAGCACCTGACCATACAAGCTACCAGTCCTATATGCTGCATGGAGGGGGTGCAATGATCACAGCACCTGACCATACAAGCTACCAGTCCTATATGCTGCATCTGAGCACCTCCTGTCGGACATGAGCAGCCTCGGATGTCTGATTCAGGTAAGTACAGAGAAGAGGTGCTAGCGAAAGACAGACGGGTGTTCCTAAAGCGTGTATGGGGTGAACGTAGAGGACCCCGGGGGGTGCAGATCAGACAACAGTGACCAGAGATTCCGGCAGACAATACAATCTGAGATCGGCTTCATGGTGACCACACGAGAGCCTTGTCTGCAGACGCTGGAGAGAGGAAAGTGTTACATGTGATTTCCCCGTTATTATGGGTAGGAGTGATCCGAGTGGTTTGGTTCTGGGTCCAGATAAGAAAGGTTTCGGCGTAAGACGTTACCATTCAGCCATCGAGAGTCGTACTGCTCCGTCCTGATTGGAGGTTTGCTACCCATGGTGCGGAATATGGCGGCATCTGTCCCCATGTAATCCACCTGCACTCCGGCGTACAGGACCCCATCTGTACAAAAACACAGAAAATAATGATAATCGGGGATAAAAGCAGCCGGACCCAAAGTGAGAAAATCTTTCCAATAATTCTGTTCCGGGAAGTCCCAATACCGCGGCCTCAGCTATCTGAAGGTTAATCACGGCCAATGGAACTGTCCGGAATTAGCGCGGCGAAGAATTCACATTTATTTCTGCCTTTGACTCCTCAGGGAGATTACTTTATATATAAGCGCTTCTTTCCTCCGTCACCTTATGGAGGAGGCCAATTGGAAGCTGTGATCTGAATCGTGCTCCTTAGACGTAACCCGTAGCAAGCAGGACGGCTCACCGGTCCACATACACTAACTGGAAATCTGACTGGTTGCTACGGGTTACCTATGTTTTGTACATCTGCACTTCATACTGAGCAATCCCATCTACAAGCTAGCATATGACTTGTGCAACGTACACCATGTTACATTGTTATATTGTATGGTATAGTTACATTGTTGCTTGTATATAGTATATTGTTATATTGTAAATTGTATATATTGCATTATTATATTGTGGCTTTTATATACTGTATTGCAGCTTGTATACGTTATATTGTTACATTGTGGCTTGTATATATTAGTCATTCTTTAGTCTCTCTCTCTCAGTCTCTCTCTGTCTCTCTCTCTCTCCTTCAGTCTCTCTCTCTCAGTCTTTCCCTCCTCTCTCTCTGTCTCTCTCTCTCAGTCTTTCCCTCTCTCTCTCTCAGTCTCTCTCTCTGTCTTTCCCTCTCTCTCTCTCAGTCTCTCTCTCTCAGTCTCTCTCTCTGTCTCTCTCTCTCAGTCTCTCTCTCTCAGTCTCAGTCTCTCTCAGTCTCAGTCTCTCTCTCTCTCTCTCACAGGGTCCCTTCATCAGGCTTAGGATTGGAGAGAGGCTGAGAAAGAGAGACTGAGTGAGAGAGAGAGAGAGACTGAGGGAGAGAGAGACCGAGGGAGAGAGAGAGACAGAGAGAGAGAGAGACAGAGAGAGAGAGAGAGAGAGAGAGAGAGCGAGAGAGAGAGACTGAGAGAGAGAGACTGAGAGAGAGAGAGACTGAGAGAGAGAGACTGAGAGAGAGAGAGACTGAGAGAGAGAGACTGAGAGAGAGAGAGACTGAGAGAGAGAGACTGAGAGAGAGAGAGACTGAGAGAGAGAGACTGAGAGAGAGAGAGACTGAGAGAGAGAGACTGAGAGAGAGAGAGACTGAGAGAGAGAGACTGAGAGAGAGAGAGACTGAGAGAGAGAGACTGAGAGAGAGAGAGACTGAGAGAGAGAGACTGAGAGAGAGAGAGACTGAGAGAGAGAGACTGAGAGAGAGAGAGACTGAGAGAGAGAGACTGAGAGAGAGAGAGACTGAGAGAGAGAGACTGAGAGAGAGAGAGACTGAGAGAGAGAGACTGAGAGAGAGAGAGACTGAGAGAGAGAGACTGAGAGAGAGAGAGACTGAGAGAGAGAGACTGAGAGAGAGAGAGACTGAGAGAGAGAGACTGAGAGAGAGAGAGACTGAGAGAGAGAGACTGAGAGAGAGAGAGACTGAGAGAGAGAGACTGAGAGAGAGAGAGACTGAGAGAGAGAGACTGAGAGAGAGAGAGACTGAGAGAGAGAGACTGAGAGAGAGAGAGACTGAGAGAGAGAGACTGAGAGAGAGAGAGACTGAGAGAGAGAGACTGAGAGAGAGAGAGACTGAGAGAGAGAGACTGAGAGAGAGAGAGACTGAGAGAGAGAGACTGAGAGAGAGAGAGACTGAGAGAGAGAGACTGAGAGAGAGAGAGACTGAGAGAGAGAGACTGAGAGAGAGAGAGACTGAGAGAGAGAGACTGAGAGAGAGAGAGACTGAGAGAGAGAGACTGAGAGAGAGAGAGACTGAGAGAGAGAGACTGAGAGAGAGAGAGACTGAGAGAGAGAGACTGAGAGAGAGAGAGACTGAGAGAGAGAGACTGAGAGAGAGAGAGACTGAGAGAGAGAGACTGAGAGAGAGAGAGACTGAGAGAGAGAGACTGAGAGAGAGAGAGACTGAGAGAGAGAGACTGAGAGAGAGAGAGACTGAGAGAGAGAGACTGAGAGAGAGAGAGACTGAGAGAGAGAGACTGAGAGAGAGAGAGACTGAGAGAGAGAGACTGAGAGAGAGAGAGACTGAGAGAGAGAGACTGAGAGAGAGAGAGACTGAGAGAGAGAGACTGAGAGAGAGAGAGACTGAGAGAGAGAGACTGAGAGAGAGAGAGACTGAGAGAGAGAGACTGAGAGAGAGAGAGACTGAGAGAGAGAGACTGAGAGAGAGAGAGACTGAGAGAGAGAGACTGAGAGAGAGAGAGACTGAGAGAGAGAGACTGAGAGAGAGAGAGACTGAGAGAGAGAGACTGAGAGAGAGAGAGACTGAGAGAGAGAGACTGAGAGAGAGAGAGACTGAGAGAGAGAGACTGAGAGAGAGAGAGACTGAGAGAGAGAGACTGAGAGAGAGAGAGACTGAGAGAGAGAGACTGAGAGAGAGAGAGACTGAGAGAGAGAGACTGAGAGAGAGAGAGACTGAGAGAGAGAGACTGAGAGAGAGAGAGACTGAGAGAGAGAGACTGAGAGAGAGAGAGACTGAGAGAGAGAGACTGAGAGAGAGAGAGACTGAGAGAGAGAGACTGAGAGAGAGAGAGACTGAGAGAGAGAGACTGAGAGAGAGAGAGACTGAGAGAGAGAGACTGAGAGAGAGAGAGACTGAGAGAGAGAGACTGAGAGAGAGAGAGACTGAGAGAGAGAGACTGAGAGAGAGAGAGACTGAGAGAGAGAGAGAGAGAGAGCGAGACAGAGAGAGAGACAGAGAGAGAGCGAGACTGAGAGCGCTAGCTTGGTGTTAGTTGTGCACATTGTCAATCCTAAGCCTGATGAAGGGACCCTGTGTGGCCCCGGAAGCGCTTGTTTTATGAGAGGAATCTTCAATAAATGAACACTTTGTGATCCTGGAAGGATTTGTGGGGTGCTGGTGACATCTATACACGTTTGTATATATTGGTTCTCCATCTTCCATTGAGGGACACAGCTCTGGATAAATCGAGACATAGCCAGCGGCATAACCCTACGCCTCGAATTATCCAGAGCTGTGTCCCTCAATGGACTCAGAGCCAATTTTGACTTTATTCGGGGCTGCAAATCCCCTAACACAGAAGAAACGCCCGCGAGTCCTATAAGGTTACAGAGCCGATAAACACACCTATGATAGTCGCCATGTTCTCTTGCTTGGGGTCATAGGGACACCTCCCTTTCCCAGACTCGTGGGTGCCGGATATAATCCTAAACACATAGTCCTGGGACAGAAAGAAGACACAATTATAGATCAGCGAAGATACCAGGATAGAGCCAGCACTAAAAAAGTAATTTCACTCTATGTGTTTGTTTAAAAAGGAAAAAAAAGTCAGAAGATACGGCAACTGCAAGTCGGCTAACAAAATAAATAGAAAATGTTCCTTTCTGTTTCTTGTTTAAAAAAAAAAAAAAAAAAAGAAAAAAGTGTGTACAAAAGG